TATTCGCTTATTGCCAAAAAAAGATGATCTCCACTTTAGAAAATATTAGTTAGGGAATGAGCAAGAGGAGGAGGCAGTGTATCCCTCTCTTCCTCCCTCGTCTTGACCGAAACTGCAACTTAGGACGATGACTTACCTCCCATTGATTGAATTAAATCTAGTTATTTCTCAGGAGGAACCTTTTTTTCTCTAAACTCTTCCAGTTATATCAAAATTTGTCGCCACTTAGTTTACCACGTCCACTTGAACTACACGCATCCCTTTATTTAATTTCTTAGGTTTAAGGTTTACTCAAATTATTTGTGGGACGATGTGGTACAAACAATTTCCCTAAACCTCTATCGCTTTGGTCAAGTTTTCATTGAAACTCGCAATCGTCAGGGGCATTTCGGCTGCTCCAAAAACCTAGGATCTAAGTTCACTCATTTATTTATCGTGTTTTTTTCTTTTCCAACCTTTTAAATTTTTGAACTTCTTTACACTTATAGCGATGTAGCATTCACTCAAGTGAATCATGATGCCTTATCCAAGTCAGAAGTTATGATGCATTCAGTGAGGAGATAGGCAAAGCTGCTACATATTTGAATTTTAGTTTACCTTGTAAATAAGCAATGTAGAAATCTTTTATATCGGCACTTAAAGATTGTTTCGTCTACGTATAATGGGAATAATGGAAGATAGACCTGTTCAACATTTGTCGCTGATATGCCTCCCATATGCTAAATCAGTGCCAAAATACAGCTGTTTGTAATTTTGAAGGAAAAAGTAAACCAATTTTGTACCGCTTGGGTGTGTCTGAAAGTGAGACAGGGATTTGACATTCATGGTAAATGTGTATCTTCTGTGTTTTCGCAATTACTTTAAAATGTCACATTGCAATGTAAGAGAAAAAAATTGAATGCCGCTTTAACGCGTATTTTACTATCCTCACTTAAAGCATCGTACTGCAAGAATAATCCTAGCAAACTTTTGCGACTTGAATGTGGACAAAGCTATTTTATTATTTACATGGTTGTTGAAGCTAGGAACTAGGGTTATATATCTTTCTGTATAAAACAGTTCCACCTGCAGTCCATTTGCCCTTACATACTCGGAAGTACTTTTAGAAGGTATCACGTGCAGCAAAAAGAATTTATTACAGCCTAGTGACAAATTAAATTCATGTGTTATTGTCACTGTAGATGAAGTTAAAAACACCCTATTTTGAGAGCTTAAAGTTCTCTTGAATTCACAACTATGAGTAATAAAAGCTAATTCAAGCATTTCTGACATTTACTGCTCCGCCTCGAAAAAAGACGATCAAGCACTGGAGTGATTAGAATTGACTTGACTGATCACTTTTTGCTTAAAAATGGGAAGCTCACATTCCATTGTGCAAAAGGAGAGTTTTCTGGAGGTGATATTTCATACAACAATCTGTGCAAAGTGTGCTCCATTACCATTGGCAGATCCAAGCCTCATGGGTAGGTCCAGACCCTGTCACTTAAAATGGTAGTAGATGGCGGTATTACATGGCTAGAGCAGGATGTGATTAGTAATGGAGGTAATTGGTAGGTCTTAGTGTTGAATTTTAGCGTCCAACCCAGTGATTATTTGATTTGGAAGTGGAACGTCTGATTTTGGGTGGATGCGTCCATTCGCGTTGTCGGGCAGGGGACGAATTGTGCACGCCAAATTTCATGATAACTTTTGTTACTAATCCTCACAGATGGGAAGTGGAGGTATGAAGCTGTGCATTTGGGTGAAATTTAACCTTATACGTAGAAAGGTTAGGGGTGTTGAATTGTATGTACACTATTGTACCCTATAGTTCAAAGAGCTATCAAAGCAGTGACTAGATGTGGGTTCACCGCCGATGATGGTATGAAGCTGGTTACACAAAAAAAGAGCGCCATCTCCAAAAAAACCCCTTTTTTCTTATCCCTTCTTAGGTAATACATAAAAATAGTAACATTTTCCTAATAAAAAGTCTTTCTTATGATTTGCAGCAGAAGTTCGTTTCGACTTAAGCCCTGTCTATAAAATGGCTTTCTTCCATGGCACGAGGCGTCTTTAAAGTATGCTCTACCTATACGTAAGATTTTCTTCAACTTATATTTCTGAATATTTGCTGATGAAAAGCCAAACTGAATAAGTTCTCTGGCAACGTCAGATTAAGCTTTTGCTTTTGACTACTCTTTACACTCGAGTGTTGCATTATTTTATCATTGGGCAGGCTGCGCCTGTTGTAAACTCGGAATGTTCTGCTTAAATTATGGTCTGAAATTAGCTTTTAAAGGAAAAAAATGAAGATAAAGTAAGTGTATCTCCATTTTATGCGCTTGTATACCCCTCACCCACTTTGATTAAAGAATTATAGTCCCTGGGGAGAGAAAAAGTAGCAATCAAAATGCACAATACGGGAGCTTAGTGAAAATGGGATATGAGATTAGTTGAATTTTCTATAGAACTGTACAACAGAAATGTTACAGGAATGATCCCTTATAATTCTATCAGTCACTCGTGCATTTGATTGGGCGTAATGAATGTCCAATTAATGAAACAGCTTCTAACCAATAAATTCGCCACTCAGATGAGACACCATCGAAAAGCTAGTCAAGGTATCTCCCATCTTTGTATCACTTAAACTATTGGTGATTTCAAATGCCACTTTGTAAATAAGAGTACTTACTCATCTCTTTTTTACCTTTATTATACACCAATAAATCCATGAGTAACGGTAAAGTAGTATTTGGATTGGTGAACTCAGACATCAATGGTAAACACCTAGTAGTCCACCGGGTTTTAAGCAGTTTATTTAATACAGCTCCTAATTTTACTGACCTATGATGTACACTAACGTTGGACCCCAAAAGTGGTCCTGGGTCTCCCTGACCTTTCGTAGAGTCCAAAATCTTCAATACATGGCAGCGCGAGTTAACAAATGAAGGCCGCTGATATCTTCATTGGTGCTTCCAGGATGACGTATTTTTCGAAAATGGAAAATAACTTGAGTGGCCAAGACTGTGGGATTCTATTGCCGGCTTGACTGCATAAAGATAAGAAAAATTTTGCTGCTAAAGGGTAGTATTTTTGTTCAATTGACTGTCGGACCCTTTTTTGTTATTTGCACCTGTAACGGTTGTGTCAATGGGTAGATCAGAGCCACCCACGGGGTGTGATGAAGCGCAAACTATCCACGAACGGGCGGAAGTACTTATATTTCATTGCTTTTCATTTTTAAAAGATTAATGTACGATACGTTAAAAATATCACTGCCGATGATGTCCTCAAAGTGTAAACTGTCCTGATAAACAAATACGATTTCTAGCGGTTACCTTATCCCCAATCTCCTTATTATAACATGCTGATTAATTCTTTTCTAATTTGTTTTGTCGAATGGGACTTGTTGAAAATACGGCTAGTGAAAGGTCGCTTGGTGATACCTGTGAAGAACCTACTACTTCTGTTCAGAGTTGATGATAACGTGTAATAGTCGGCTAAAACTATGCTAAAATCACGTTTCTACAATATTTTGGGGAATGACTATCGTGGGTGTTATGAACTGGTGTTCGCCTATATAAACACGATCACTATTGGGACTCATTGGGAGTAAGCACGAATAGGACATCAGGAAAACGAGGCCTTCAATGGTGCCAGCGCAAGTTCTCAAGGAGTATGACGAACAGGTGCGTATCTGCTAGTCGAATGGCTGGAGTTCCAGGATGCTCACCGTTCATGCATATAACACTTTGAGTAGCCTTGACCTCAACGTTATTAAAAGTCCACTGAAGCGTATTCACTGGAAATCCACGTCATGAAAAGTTTCAAACTGTTCCGAAATACACTTTTGAGCAGCAATTGGCTGTAGGTTGAAATAAAAATGTCCTTCTGGGGTTGCAGATATCCCCCACAGAGAGTCAGAAAACAACAGGTTTGCACCCACACCTGGAAAGACAGTCTTCGAGGTAGTCATCAAGTAAATGCTCTCACATCAATTACATGTGAAGAAGAAGAGGCAAGGAGAATGGCTTTTTCCCTCCCAGAATGGGTATTCAAGCAAGTATTTGCTAGCATGCCATACCCAATGACAGACAAGCAGAGGTGACTGGAAACTGTCTATCCCATCCAATTGAAAAGGGTGAAGGAAACAATTGTGATTGTGGGATGGGACAATGTAGTCCCGAATAGTGCGGCGTAGTGTTGTGAGAATCGTAAAGACGGAGAGGCAGTGGCGATTACAGTTGAAGAATGCAAAGTTCACAAAGCGCCAAAGAAATGAGTCCATAAAATGGCACTGTCGGCTGCGCGCTGACATCTGCAGCCTGGTCTTCTGAATGGGAGCAGTTGACGATAGCCCCCATCATCCGAGTGAACATCAGTGCTCCTTATTGCCTTTACCAGCCTCCCCCCCTACAATGAGCCTGGTTGTCATACTATGCCTCAACAAAACAGCCCTCGCCCATCCATCGAAAAGTTTTCACTAATTACCATCCCAAACACCACTTCCACTGCCACATTTTATGAAGCCGGGTCAGGAGCAACATCCACGAACAACTTCTCATACTGTCGCAAAGACAAAAGTACACTGTGCAAGTCAACAACAGCACATTGAAACGAGGCTATCGTAACACATAAAAGACGGAGGAATACACTACGAGACGAAGACTATCAAAATAGGCAGTTATACTACGGGGCGTGATCTCGTTTACCCCTTCCACAGAAAACACCTAGTCCATGTGGATGAGCACACACACTCGAGTGTCACAGCGGAATGAGCAGCAGCAGCAGCAAATGCAGACAGCGTTCAACCCCCTACTCCTGGGTGGGGAAAAGGAAAAGACGCACTTGATACACTCCAGGCCAACGTAACTCACATACGGACCTGCAGATGCACCGCAAGCGCGACGACACCTGAAACGGCACCCACGATCGCAACCCCATGTCAACTTCAACGCCAGTAGCCTGTAAGATGGTTAAACTGCGGTTCACTAACGACCCCTATGTCACACTTCCCACCAAATACGCAATTTCCGAAATGACTGCCTGTCGGGAGTCTACAAGAGCGGCCACTCATCACCGCTAACCCCTTACCTCAGCCCTGTGATCCACGTCTGGCCATCAACTTACAGCCAGTTAAGAAAAAACACCGACCACTTTACCCAGCAATCTCATGACGGCTCAACGGAACTACACCGCTTGTTTCTTGAATACCACAATCTCAGCCACGTGAAGTTACCCAAGTATCCGCCCCACAGTTTCACACCACCCCCGAAGCAGACCAACTTCAACATCCGTCGTAACAGACCCCGCAGCAACTCGAAACGACGAGGGTGTGGGGTCCCAATGACCTCTCTTAACCAACCACTCCACGAGGCAACAGCATTGAGCGCAACTGGACTGAAAAGTAGGACCGTAGTGTACAATGCTGATGACCCAGAGATACAAGTGAATAGACAGCATTAGTACACCATCCAGTGACAATCTGAAAGCCACCACATCTCCAAAACACCACTACTGCAGCACAAATGCTACTACAAGGCCCTAATCTTCCCAAAAACTGTTGACCAAACCGTCGTGAATCACAAGTTCCGACATTTCACAAACCTATCCAGGAATTCGAACAGCTAATAACACTTCCACTTTGAGTCCGAAACAACTCCAGTGTCATCTCCTCATGGCATTCAATCACCCTACCTCTGAAGATGAGCCAGGCGCATTTGATACACACCAAGTGCCAACCATTCGATAACAGATCCCATCCTGCTGAACAACCCTAGAACAGGTGCCAGCCATCAGATAACAGTTAACGTAAGCATACGTCACGATCAAAACAAACGATCTTCACCATGGCCAACTGTCGATAAATGTCCATAATTCTGCAGAAACACTGCAGATACGAAGCGAGTGGAGATTCTTGGGGAACTCGTCGCACTCCATCGCAGGAAAACGCGCTGCCCAGGTATGTTAGAAACACTCTGTCCCCACCTCACAAAGTTGGCAGCCCAAATAGGGTAGGCAGCGCAGTCCACTGTTCCTCACTTGAATACTCCTAGGCTCCTTCACCCTGCGCAAGTTAGCCGTTAGCAATCCACCAAAGCGACTGCCCAACTGCACCACTAAAGCGGTTAATTAAGCGTGCCCAGTTCCTCACAACCATATCTACCTACGCATATTGTTAAAAATAACATTACTCTGATTACTCGTTATGAGCGGACTCCAGATTCAGCAAATTCCAAAAGTCCCTCGACAAGTCCAAGTATCGATGACTGCCTACCAGAGAGTGGATCCTTAAAACGCTCCACCAATCTCTTATTAACGTCGACTTCAGGCAGAGGTGAGAGACGCAAACACTCCATAGCCTTGGGAAATGGTGAAATTCGGGCCTTTCCCACGCTCAACACGACTAAACTCATTAATCATAAAATACGATTGTCAAATCTCTGGAGAGCTACATTTTGCTTGGGCCCTGAAGGTGAAACAGAAACAGTCTCTTAATGGAATAATCCCACCAGTTCTCAAATACAAGCTTGCAAACACTGGATGTCTACAAGCCTTATATAAATGCGACGGCATACCTTAAAGAATTGTGCACTTAGGCATGAAAAGAATCCTAAGTCAACTCCATGTCGATTCTTCATAGCACGAAGAAGGTGACAGCTGGTTTGTTCAATCCGTCCTACCTCAACACTGCGACACGAAAGACGACCTTTCGAGCAGAAGAAGCCAAACTAATAACAAATCAGCCCACGCGTATAAACCTGTCATAAACTGTGACAGTGCTTTATGTAGGTTACACCTAGTAACACCGGAGTCAGAGTCAACTCAAAACTAGGCTTCCAAAATGTTATCTGAAGCAGACACAAACAGCATTTAAAAGATGAAGCCTTTAAACCGGGATTTCAAACAACCTACTACAAATAGAAGAATCGCTAGCAAATTTTCCAAAACAAAAAATTTAACTTTCAAAAATACAACTGTATTTTTAAAAGACATTTTGCGTTTCGCAAGAAAGTATGTCAAATATATCTGCATAAATAGCCCTAGCACCACTCCGCCCACATTTTGATTCCCACTCGTTTAGACAAAATAAATTCAGCCTTTGTTTTAGTGTTTTATCTGTTTTTCTTACTTCCACGCTCACAGATTTTAAATGCTCTTTTACTTTTCTCATGTAGTAGAGTCTTGTTTAAACCTGTGTTCCCGCTACTTCCTTGCAGTTTCGTGGGTCTTGGAAAAATTTGGTGAGTACTATTTTGCCTCTTTGAATTTAATGCTCCCCCATTTTAACATATGGCTAATAATGGCAATCTGACCATTGTAGTAACGCAGACTTTTGTTCTGGTGTTGTGCTTGTGTTTGGAGTTCGCTAAATTTTGGCAATTTCTGTTAATGGGTTTTCCTTGAGCTGATTCAAATCATATTTTGTGCATAGACCTGTATTCCAAATAGCTATGCCAACTTTTTGGGCTGCATGGTATTAGTTGGAACTCTAGTTGGCAATTGAAGTGAAGAATTTTCTTTTTGCTCCTGCGACTGTTTCTTTCATACTTTTTGGCCAACGTAAAATCGGTTTAAGTGTGACTTGACATCGTTGGTTGGTGTTTTACTCCGACATGCACTTGTTAGTCACCTAGTGATTTGGAGTCACCATTGAGTCCGCTTTGAATACGTAACTGCATATACACATAAATGCTGCATTTATGCCTAGTGATTTTCCATCAGTATGTAAGGATATGACATGTTGGAGACCACTGCTGTGCTGATTTTACTAGATCGCGTTCTCTGATGTTGGATGCAGTTGATTATGCTAGTGGGTCGCATGTCGTGCTAAGTCATTTGTGGTTGAAATGCCGGAGGAGCCTTCTGTTGATGGTGAGGCACATGGTTAGAATGATTGGAAGTTACCGGTTGTTAAGTTATTACTTCTGGTCATTACGTGGTATTTGTCAGTATCTCACGATGACTACTTTGGTTTAGGGTCCACTTTTGATTCCTCAAATAATGCTTCCTGAGCCAGTTTTCAACTGAGGGCAAACCCTCTAACCTCGTGCATGTGATGGGTTGGAGGTATCGTAATAACTGTATTAATGGTGCTGTCTCTTTTTAAAAATAACTGGTTGTTTAGCTGCTCAAAAGCAATGGTAGGACCTGTTAATTTGCATCAACTTGATATCCGTTTTGTAACAAATCATCGCAATTTTGAACACTGCAGACGGCAATGAATAAAGCCACCAGTATTGGTTATAGTTGGGCTGGAGTGCATTTCACAAGAATGTATTTGTGTGTGCACGGGAATCGCTCGGCCGACCGCACATCTAAACTGGTGTATTTTTGCTTTCCAGTTTCTGGTTTTGCAGCTATTTCTTTTCATTAATCTCATCGGTTAAAATTGTTACAAGCCTGTATAGCCGTTGGAGACAATAATCGGAGTGTTGGACACACTTTATGCGATTCACATCATCAACGCCTATCTGAAAGTTGGAACTGATCATGATGCTATCTGTTATATCATAATCATGTCGAGTAATACCGTACCATATCCTGTATGTTGTTGGTAGTTAAAGTGGCGTAATGATTGTTAATGACAATTCTATCAGCTTCCCTTTGAAACCTGATCGGTAGTTAGGATGGTACCGGGTGGTGGCGTTTCAGTGGTCGACAACAGAAGCGGTTAGTAATCTATTATTTTTATTTAAATCTAGGTAGGAGATGGAGCAAACGTTATAATACTTTGGTCCATACACTTGGATGGTGAAGACATTATGAGGTCACCTCAATGCCCGGTTAATGTCGGGCGCACCAGAACTTTCGTAGTGAGCCTCATCGAAGATGGTCACTGTGGCGGACGTCGGTAGAGCTTATCGTGAGGCAGTGCGAATTGAAGTCATCTTCGCGACAGACGGAATCATTCTACCTGCTTTTGGATGTTTTCGACAAAGCTCCACCGGAGGAAAATTATTTGCTAGGATTAGGGCCCCTTCATTGCCATCACCGTCGGCCTAGGTGGAGAACGGTTTCCCTAGCCTCGCAGTTCTAGTCTTAACTGATGAGGCAGCTCCTACCTCCACTGGAGCTCAGGGCGTCGGCATAACAACAAGTAAGCGAATTCTAATCCCATTTTCATCACCATTTTCTACGTGAATTTGAACACTTTGGGTTGCATGATTGAAATGATATCATCCTTCCATGCCGTCATACTTAGCCTAAAATCTCTACCAGTATCTATTGCGTGCAGTGAGATGTCGAGGCCTTATGTGGGACTGACACAGTAAATAGCCAGGTGATTAGTAAACCCGCTTCACACCTCAAGGCAGCCCGTTTCAAAATGTGGCTGCCATTTCACTGCACTTAAGTTCTTCGAAAAGTCGTCGCATATTGCTTGAGGGCCTGTCGTCTGATGAACAGAGACGGACCAACTCCTAATGTAGTACATGTCGTTTGTTTGCTATCAGCACATGGTAAAAAGGAGCATTTCAGTTGAGATACAAAGGAATCCATTAATCTCTCTTCGATTTCATTAGCTTGGTTGGCTTTACTCTGACGGATGATTATAATTGCATTTGTGGTGTCAACCTCATCACATCCTGGAGTTGGTGTTTTGAGATGCTTGTAGTCGTAGTTAAAACCACAAAATTTGCAGTTTACCCATTACTTTACATCTACTGCTATGAGGTAGCTTGCCGATGAAGACGACAAGAATACCATGAGGACCTACCATCAATATGGCTCCTTAACTTGTGATGGAATGGCCTCCAATTTATCCCTTATCAACCAAATCATTCTTGTAAATAAGTAGATCAATAAGAAAAGGAATGAATTTCCACCTTCCTTATTATAAATGAGCAACTTGTCCGTCGTCATCACCGATATTGCCATCACTCTCTTTGTCCTTTCAGATTGGTGGCAACGTGAGGTTTTCCCGTACCCTGTAAGTTGTGCGCACCTTCCCTCATTCCCGCATCTCTACCCCATTTCATCTCCCTCCGTTATTGCCACCTCTTCATATTTTCTTTCCTCTCTAGTGTCAAAACTACTTCAAATGAGAAGACAAACTGTTTCCGACTCCTTTGTTGCTTTTCTCGATACCAACCAATTTGCAATAGTGATTTCCTTTTTAATCAAACTTTTGTTTTCTACTTTCTGTCTGGACGGGATTGAGTGGAGCCCATTCCTCACCGGTATTGGTGCCTTTGATGGGAGGAGGGAATGGCGGGAGCAGGTGGATTCCATTTGCTTCATTGCCTGCCAATTTGAAGGCAAACATTGGAGCAGATAGTGGACCTCCTATTCGCCAGTCATATTTCTGTACACAATTGAATGTATCCAGTGACTTGCTACCCTTGATTTCGCACCCAATTGGTAAGTTTTTTGCGTTGCAGTTATTGCAGCCTTTAGCAAAATTGTGGCTAACTTGCAATCACAAAGACTGCAGGGTTTCGCTTCTGAACGACGGCTTGGTATTTCCCGGGCCTTTCGTGGATGCGATTTTTCCTCCCAAAAGCTTGCAGATGCTATGGATAGCATTAAATAAGGAGAATACAGATGGTATGGTTAGGCTTATTCATGGTGCCTTTCCTCCTCTGAAGCTGATGGTGTCTGATTCGTCGCGAGGTCCGCATTTGCTAACCCCCTCTAACAAACATGTATTACAGTAGTACCTACAAAGGTAGCATTTTAGTCAAGTTAGATGGGAAGGTTAAGTGAAAACAACGGGGGGTGAGTGAAATGTGTTTGACAGGTTAACATTTGTAACTACGACATACAGAGAAAATTTCTTTATGTACCTCGGTGTTGTAATAACAAATATTACGAAGGATAGATGCGTTTCAGGTTGCACGTGTTCCTCACTTTACCTTCGGTTATTTTAGGCCTCTCTTGTGAAATGCCTCCCCGGAAAGTCAAAAGTTTAACCCAGTTATGATGCACCGGAAGCATCTCCAAATAAGGGTAAGGTGATGGCAGAACAAAGCATTCCGAGTGATTCATAGGATTTGATTATGGCGATAAACTGCCATAGATTGATGCATGAAGTTCTGATAACGAAGAATCTCGTGTCACCGTTAGTTGAACTGCTGAAAGAGTAACGTGTCAGAACAAATTTTTACTCATGGGTAGTGGGAGTGAAGACAAAACAATTGGAGGAGAAATTGATGAATGCTAAGCAAGTAGATCCCTGTCTTGTGTGCCCAAGCGTTAGCATGAGGTGCCATGCGCGTCGACATCCGACCAATCAGATGCGATAGGCCGATTTGAGGCAGTAACATGGGACAGCAATATTTTGACAAATGGCTTGGACCCACAAATTGTCATACTTGATCATCATATCTGCAAATAAACAATCACGCTTTAATGTCAAACGGTGCTTGACCTCTCCGTCCACAATTGAACTTCCAATCTTTCCCTTTGAAGCATCGAGACAGGTGAGGGATGACTACGGATGGTCGCACGCAGGATTTTCTGTCAGACAAGTGATCTGGACGCACAAATACCCTTATTTATTCCTTTGCTTTTGCTTTCAACCGTCTTATGACCAAAGTACCATCTTTGTTGACAGCTTAGTCTTCTCTTTATACCAGTGAGGCTGAGGCATGCATCCATCAACACCGGATGTCAGTGCATTCTAAAACCTTATTTTGTACCTCACTGGATAATTTGAAGGTTACCTGCTAATTTACTAACTCGTAATGAGGGACGGCTTTGGTGTCCTTTTATCTCCATTCAGCGTTTCACGCTTTTTGGCACCACTTTACGGTCAGGTGTCTACGTTTGCCTTAGGTGGGTATGTGTGCGATGGACTGAAGAGGGATTTATTTACTGAGAAGAGGAAACAACAATCACGTTTGAGATCTGCCAACCGGATAAGATACAAGATTGATGGGTGTGGTAAGAACTTCCTTACTGTGAGCAATACAGGACTCTATACTATTAGAATTTATCGTGCAGATACCTTATACCACACCTCAGGATGGGAGGCATTTCTTCGGGTAATGAATATTACCTTATTTGTGTATCAGGTATTCTCATGCAAAACAGGGCAGACAGTTGGACCGTTGACATTTGGAAGTGAAATGCTCTTGAAAGGTAAAATTCAGCGCAGGAGTTTACCTCATTAGCAAAGGATAGAGAATTTCAAGATGGCATTTTTAGTAATTGAATACTTCATTCAATGCAGCAGTCATATGGCTAAACCTTCGTTTTAATTTCGTTGGCACTTAAGACTCCGCTTTTGTAATTCTGCCATGCAGCATGAACTCCAGACCATCCCGGTAGCCCTCAGCCCATCTCTACGTTGGCAACACATGTACTGTCCTAGTAATATTACTTCTTTCGTCTTCAAGTAAGTCTTGAGCGCTACATTGGTGGCAGTGGACAACGAATTGGATCATAAGGGACAACTGCTATGAGTCCTGCTACTGGATTTCTAGACCACAACATGCCGAAAGAAGAGCAAAAACTGCGGAACGATGAATCTGTGACGTCTACCTTCGACAAATATCCCTACCCGTTTTTCTACAGGAGTGCCATCAGCTACAGAGAAGACACAAACCATGAATTGCCTGGAAAATTTTGTTACGGAGCTGCCTGCAGTGTCTGTATGAAGATATCAATGAAGCTAACAGGCGATACCTCCTCCACCTATCTACTAGCTGGATAGAACCCAAACAGGCATGGCTGGGTGGTGCTTAAATGAGAACAAAGTGGCGAGGAGGAAAAGACGAGAAACCCTGACTCGAGGAAATGATTTCAAATCCCAGTCCTTATTGCATGGCTCTGCTTTTTATGCCAGTATTCTTACGACTATTGATGCACATAAGAGGTGGCCTGCACATTCTCCGTGCCTCCAACGCATTTTCCAAACAGATCGAAACTCCAGATCAACTGGAATTGCTATGAGAGATGAGTGACGTTGCTGTTTAAAATCTTTTCAATTGTACGAAAACCCGATGGCTGGAACGGTTGGTTTGTGGCTGTTTTTATGACATCGCCGACTACGTTGTAGTGGCTGACATGGGAAAGTGACTAAGGGGAGCGCCGGGGATGACACTCAAAGGTGGAAGAGGCTATGCAGTGCTTGGATTGTTAGCTGGCCTCTTCGTTATGGTTACGTGGGCACTTGAGGTACCACCATTGTACTTTCGCTGGGTGGCATGTTCTCCGTACCATGTCAGTTGTCCCCCCAGCCCTCCCCTATGTCAACAATGCATTTTCTGCCCTGGTATTATGACCGTTTTCCACATCAAGAAAGATTCAGGGCGCCACATTTATGTTTATCAAGTGCAAGAACTTGTTTTGTTATCCCATAAAGTGGCCACAATTTGGGACCCTAAACTTGCTATCACATAAATCGGTCGGTTATGGCGGTTGTCCGCTGACAAGGCGTTTCTTCGCCGTCAGGAGTTTATTTAATATCGCATGCCTAGTTTCCGGCTTAGCTTTGTCCAAAACGATCTACTACAAAATAGCGGAAGATAACAGCTGGCAGAAATTTATTATTTTCCTCAAATCGTTTTTTAACAGATGCGATGTGACAATTCGGACAGGATATAAGCCCTGGACAAACAACAAAAACAACGTCAACCTCTTTTGGTTACCAAACAAATGCGTTTTCATTTTCATTAATCAGCTTATTTAATATGTTCGGGAGTTATGTATAGTTTGATGGAATTTTTCTTTTAAAAGAACTTCAGAAAAAATTAGTATTAAGCTGGAACGCGACGACTTCTAATAAAATGGGAAGTTGGACTTGATTGACTTTCCTATCTTCACCGTTTATGCCACTATCGTGATGTCATGCCTGTCCTTTCAGACCTTTCAATGGCACTGGATTCATATCCAGAACCTTGCAACATATAGCGCCTCCAGCAGTGGCCTAATCCTTGATCTCGCAGTTTCAAGGCCACGTCCAAACATCACTGAACTTCTTAATCCGGCGGTACTCACATCTGGAAGATTGTCAAAACCATATCCTAATCTCTTCTGCAATTTGACAAGTTATGTATGTAACAGGATAAGAAAAGAGAGGCCTGAAAGTGTGGCTCATTGGATGATTATCATTCTTCTGGGGAAATGGAAAATAAGGCTCGACGTCAGTATTTCAACAACGTGGAAGAGTGTGCAGCTCAAGCGTCAGTCATGCGTCTTGTCCATTTCGATGGATCTTCAGTTTCACCTTCTTAATTCAGCTCACTGTAGGGGTTCAGTAGCTTTGTACCTCTCAAGATAGAAAAAGGCTCTACAGTGAGGGCATTCTGAGTGACAATAGCCATTTCTTAATTTATGGAAGACTTTGCATAAGGTGTCCTAAGTACCCATTAAGTATTTATCCTTCTCTACCCCCTTTTTTTTCTTTTCTCTGCAGTGCAGACCTTCGCCTCAGTTGTTAGGCTTTGTTTAGAGGCCACCTTTCTGCACCGATTCGGTGATAAAACATCTGTATATCTTCTCAATTTTTTGGGAACCATTTATTAACAGAGGGGAAAAGGCGTTAAGTAAATACCCAACAAAAAGCGAAGCATACGTCTGATGGAATGCACCATCCCGGTGACAAGTGGTAAGACGGCAGCATCCCCGGGACTAAGCGGACGTGATCGCCTCCCATGGAGGAAACAAAGTCCGATTCCCCCACACCACGCAATCTAAGATGGATTCCATCCTCCAGGCTTCCTCACCCAAAGGTCTAAAAGCAGAGGTGGGTTAGAAGAGCAAAGAAAATACAACAGTTGCAGGCTAAATTCTTGATTTGATGGCTTACTGAAAGAGCCTAGCTCTAAGACATTTATGAGGAAAATGTAATGGTTTAGACGTCAGCGAATCTAGAAATTTAGTGGCCTTTTTCGGGAAACCTTACTCAAATGGCACATTTTAACCGTTGCGGTGTATTAAAATGAGTGAGATTTGAAATATGCATGTGTAGCGCCTCGAGACTTCCTTGCAGTTGAAAAAAGTCATAATACAAGAGAGTCGATTTAGAAGGGTTTGGGTCTATTGGCGTGGCTTAGATACCATGCCACCCAATGGCGACACAGAAGCGGAAGCTTAAGTGTCCTTGAAATCAATAGGATGAGCTGAACAAACAGTCCGGGTCCTACCCACATTATAATGAACGGATATGCGTGAGTTGAACAAACGCCCTAATACTCGTTATGATCCCCTCAGTTTGCCGAGCATTTGGATTCATCATATCAACAAGTGCTGTCTCAATCTGACGGGCACGATTCCGCACTGTCCACCTCAGGCACTGTGACTCATTTCCTTCAATGTTGAAGCGGAATCCTCTCATCAAGTCCGTAGTTTATCAACTGAAGCAGGTATAGTTTGCGTCTTGGATAGGGCAGAACACCACCCCGAAGGCCCTTGCCACATTGATGCTGCACCCAAGGAGGGGCAATGCACACAAAATGAATGAGATTAAACATATTTACTGACTGTCTTCATGAAAATGAGGCGAGTGACGTATAACTCTTCGTCACTTGACATTTAGCCCTAATTTAAGGTTTTAAAGGCATCTGCAGTGACATCTAGCTAGAGTAATGAGGCGATTGGTAGATACGCTGTGCCCACCTGCAATGCACAATACAGGTCATTGTGTAGGCCGGTAGGCGGATGGGACCCACACACTTGGTAATACATTACCAGGTGACAATGAGGGACAATGAAATTCAATGACCACCGGCAACTTCGTTCTCCGCGTCCTTCTCGTGGTTTATGAAAACGCGCCATATCCTTAAGGCAACTTCAAGTAGCTCGCTGTTTAACTAACTGACCGACCGACCGACTAATTGACACACTGGCAGACTGTCCAGGTGATCAATAGATGTGAGAAACGATTTTGGCATTCTATTCCTACTGCCGACGGGCGTAGCACAGCACATTACTCTGAGTTCTTATCGTATTAACTAGCTTTGAAGTTTAGTCTGAAATGCTGATTAAAACGCCTCGTTATTTGTTTGAATTAGAGGATTAACTTATTAAACTCGAATTAAAGCTTACTAATCACATTATATCCTTTTGCCGACTTACAAGTGTGTGACAGATTGATAACAGTTGGAAAAACGGTACACAGGTGATTGTTTATTTTGGGGAGTAAAACAAAACTAGCACATCTTTTAAACAACTTAACTTAAGTTCTTTTTGAAGTTTTGCCATTTTTTGCCAAAAAACCCAACATCCCAATTCTTGTGAATCCCTAATTTTGCTAATTTCGGGAGTAATTAAAGTTTCTGAAGAAAGGAAATTCTCGAACCTTTGGCACAATTTAAGCTTGGGATCTGGTCCTTTTAGATCTTTGACCACAAAATCATCACTTATGCGTGCATCGTGATGTTGGAACTGAACTATCAACGTGCAGCGGTGGTGAGTGGGCCAGCAGTTTGAATCTGGGGGGGCATATGCTACGTACCCTTGTAAATGTCGTATTAAAACGGTTCTAAATTTCAGCACGACAGAATAGGGCCGGCAGGGTCAGGTTTAATGAAGACGTACTGTGAGGCTTGTTTCACGGACAAACACCGAATAAATGAAGATCTTATTTTGTATCTGGGGGCTAAGTTAACTTGTGTTTCGCTCTGTCGCTTTATTGTTATTCACATACCTCTCCAGCTATATCAGCTGAATGAAGCAGCTAACAAAATCACGTCCAATAGAACCAATTTTAAATTTTGACGGACCCAGATTATAATCCAACAGAGGAAAACATCCGAAACCAGTAAAACTCACTGATTTGTGCGTCACCATGCACCGAGTCGCCAGTATCGGAGGTGCTGGGAATAGATGAGACGCTATTAAACGAATCGGTCAGGTGGGAGAAAATCGACGCCACAAAAGAAACAAAAGTTTAGCAATCACAAAATAGAAATAAATCTTTCGGTACTTTACCAAAATGTGAACTTGTACATCCAGAG